TGGCCGGGCTGGGCTGGACGCTGGGTGGCGGCAGGCCAGGCCTGCTCGCTCAGATGCCCGCCCAGGGCCAGCGGCGGGGGGCATTCTGGCCCGGGCGTCTCGAGCTCCTGGGGTCTAGCCTCCCCTCCCCCTCCCCCGGCGGCTCACCCTGGTGGGGCCGGTCTTTGGATGGTTCTGTCGGCTAGAAAGAGGGCGAGGACACCAGCGGGGCACCCCTGGAATGCGGCCCGTGTGCCCGGGCGGCTGAAACTGCTCTCCCGCCTACTTTGAGCTCATTTCACTTTAGGTGGCCGCAGGGGCTGGGGCTGCGGTGCTGATGGGGGCGCTCCAGCAGCCGCCCGGCTGGCCCTGGCCTCCCGGAGTCCTGATTCATTCCCTGATTCAGCTGGCCAGGCCGCAGCGCGGGCGGGGCCCCTTCCCCGAGGGCCTCCGGGCCCCGAGGGGCTCAGAGGAAATCGGGCGGCCAGGCCAGACAGGCACTTCCCACTTCCCACAGGCACTTCGGGTAAGTCTCCTGCCCGCTCTGTGCCCACTTTGTCCATTGAGGGGACACCCCAGAGCACCAGGGCGCCGAGTCGAATGCGCAAGCGGCCTGCCCCAGATGGCAGAGCTGTTCCTGGGGTGTGCGGGCCCCATGCCCGCCTCCCAGCACTGACTCAGCCCGGCCCACAGGACAGCCCCTCCGGGTCAGCAGATGGCGGCGTGGCCGCCCACAGCCCCGTCTGGCCCCAGTGCCACCAGCTCCTGGCCCCGCCCCCTCCAGTGCAGCAGAAGCAGCTTCCAGGGTCCCACTGCGCACCCTTCTGCCACCGGCCTGTGCCCTCACTCCACCCAGGCCTGTGCCGGGCCTCCTGCCGGCCGGTAGCTGGACATAGGCCCTCCCTCGGGCCCTGGCGTCCCTGGTCTGGGCTCTGGAAGTTCTTCCCTACATCTGACCGGCCTGCTCCTGTGCAGCCCGGCCCCGCCCTCGCTGTCCCTCTCCCGCCTGCCTAAGGTCTAAGGCAGGAGAGCTGGGCCTGTCTGGCTCCAGGCCCTGGGCACCCCCCACCCCCCACAGTCGAGGGGGTCACTCTAGGCCCCAGGCCTATGAAACTGAGGGCCTGGGGCCCTGGCGGGGCCGGCCGCCCCTGTGAAGGGTGACCATGGGGTGGCCTGGCGTGAGCGCCCAGGGCCAGGAGACCCGCTCTCAGACGGCGGCTGCGGGGGAGGGAGGAGAGGCCAGAGCAGATGGGGCAGCTGGCCAGCGGGGTCTTGCTCTGCTCCTGCCGGGCAGCTCCCCGGGAGGCCGGGCCAGGAACTGTCCTGGCCCTCAGGGCTTCTCCCTCCAGCCCCGGCAGGCCTGCGGGCTCTGTGCTTCCACAGACCTCGCGGGCGGAGCCAGCGTGCTAGTGTCCAGCCCCGGGAGAAGGTGCTTATGTAAGCCCGCGGCCTGCCCGAGCCGCCCTGTGGCCCCGGGAAGAGGCCAGGGTAGTTTCAGGCTATTTTCAACCCCTGGTTCTCACAGCTCTGGGCTGAGAAGCAGGTGTGATCGGCGGGTTTCCTAACACCCCCTGAGGGGCCAGGCGAGGCAGCGCGGGTCAGGGAGCGCGAGGGGCGCTGGCAGGCGGTTGTCATGGTTCTGCGGGCTCCCTGGGCTGACCCAGCCGGCGTCGCACAGCGTGTGCCTGGGCGACCACCGGCCGAGCTGGCCTCTCACCGCGTCCCCCACCTGCTTGCGCCTCAGGCAGCTGTGGGACTGCCCAAGGTCACACAGCGGGGGTGAGAATTGGCCCCAAACCCTTCACTTGGGGGAGGCCCCAACTCTCAGACATGCCCTGCAAAGGATTTCGTCCCCACCCGCGGGGCTGGAGGGAAGGGGGTGCGGTACAGGGAGCCGCCCGGCCAGGAGCATTATTTTGGTCCCACAGCGTTGCGTCTGAGCCCTGACCCCGGCAGCTCTGGTCCCGACCCATAGTCACAGGCTGAGTCCGGCCCGCCTCACAGCCTGAGGCTGGGCCTCCACGGAGGCCCCGGCCCCCCCCAGGTCGGGCCCACCCGGCCCCTAAGCACTGTGTGCCTTCGGGGCTGTGCCAGCAGTGCCCGGCTCCCCAGGCCAGCCGGGAGCTTGGGAGGGAGCAAGTGTTTGGTACAGGACACAGTGAGAATCCACACAGCTGGGAGGGAGCTCCGCACGGAGCAGAGCCGGGGCCTTAGGCCTGCGGGCAGCTGCACTTGGAGCCCAGCCTCGGGGGTGCGGGCGTGTGGCCGAGCAACTGCTGCCCCGGCCCTTCTCAGTCCCCGCTGCCGCAGCCTCTGCGCCAAGCACAACCAGGCCTGAGAGAGGCCCTGGTGTCCACAGGAGCCCCACTTCCCTGGCCTCCATGGGGCCTCCTGTTCCCAGGCACTCCTGTCCCATCCCCTGGGCCCCTAGGAGGCCTGGCTGTCCCCAGCGGTTACAGAGCAGGGCACTCGGCAGTCTGGGTGGTGGGCGGGCAGACGTGGAGCTCAGACAGGGCCTATC